AGCCTGATGGCGGTCTGGATCTCGCGGGAGCTGATGGTTGATTTCTTGTTGTAGTGGGCAAGGCGGGAAGCTTCGGTGGCGATGCGCTCGAAGATGTCGTTGACGAACGAGTTCATGATGCCCATGGCTTTGCTGGAGATACCAGTGTCTGGGTGTACTTGCTTCAACACCTTGTAGATGTAGATAGCATAGCTTTCCTTTCTCTTTCCCCTTCTCTTCTTCTTTCCATCAGCAGCAGCCTTTGCCTTACCGGCTTTCTTCTCACCTTTCTTTCCTGCCACTTTGGGTGCCATATCTGTAGATCAGAATGGATTTGAATGAACACTGAAGATGATGCATTTTGTATTTATAACAAAATTTAGAAAGGATCAATTACCATAAGGATCGAAATTCTCGATTCCTGATTGGTCATTTTAGCCTTCTCGACCTTTTGAGGTCAAAATTTGCATGTGGTTTGTTTATAGCACACGGAGTCTTTGTTTTATATGGTCAAATGCAAAGTTTCGATTGGTGCCTTTCGATCCTTTGCACTCGAATAACGGCAAATAAAACTCGGCGCGCCTCGAATTTGCCATCAATCTCCAAGAGTCTTATCTCCGTGAGTACCACTGTATTTTCAATCATGTCTGGTCGCGGCAAAGGAAAAGCAAAGGGCACCAAGTCCAAGAGCCGCTCATCCCGAGCAGGGCTTCAGTTCCCCGTTGGTCGTATCCACCGTCTTCTTCGCAAAGGCAACTATGCTGAGCGTGTTGGCGCCGGTGCTCCAGTGTACTTGGCTGCCGTGCTCGAGTATTTGAGCGCCGAGATCCTGGAGTTGGCGGGCAACGCTGCTCGTGACAACAAGAAGACAAGAATCATCCCCCGTCACCTTCAGCTGGCTGTCCGTAATGACGAGGAGTTGAACAAACTGCTCGCCGGTGTCACCATCGCGCAGGGAGGTGTTCTTCCCAACATCCAGGCTGTACTTCTGCCCAAGAAGACCGAGAAGAAAGCCAAAGCTTAAATAAGCTTTGACTCAAACAACAACAAAAAACGGCTCCTTTAGGAGCCACTAAATATTACAAAAGTCACGATCAACAAAAATCTCTGTTCCATTTTAGTTGCCTTTATTTTCTTTAGAGATTCGTGTACACTTTTCATCGCGTCGACTTACATTTATACCTGTACTCCAATTTTGAGTTCAGTACTCCTGTTTAGAGAGTAACACACCCTTCCGTAAATGTACTGACTTTATCGTAGTTTTAACGCTCGTTGCTCCATTGTTTCCTTACGCAAGTCCAGTCCTTTGTGTCAATACTATCTCATCAAATGCAAATAGTTCGGTTCTTGCTTCAGAATTTACTTTGCTAATTTCTCGCATTAGTGCGCGCGGCATACGCGCAAAAGTGAAAAGCGCGCCTAATTTGAAATCTCGGTGTCAGTTATAACGGATCTACTCGTGAGTTTCAACACTTTTTATTATTGGAATAAGGGATTCAATGAGCGTATTCCAGCTGGAAGAACTTGCTCGTTTTTTAAAATTCCTACTAAGAACAAAGGACTGGCGCATTAGGTTAAAGTAGTCCCTAAAGAGTATCAACGATTCCTCTTGAAATGCGCGCGAAGGTTTACAGTTTGCAATAATTTTATATCGTTCTCCATTTCTTTGGGGACAAGAATTTGCGGTCGGCAAACGTTTGATTGCATGTGTTATCGCCTTACTGGAGAGCATACCTTCTATTTCGATCCTAGAGCTATTGCTCAAATCAGCGTCTTTTCTGAACAAGAAAAACCCTTGTCTTATTTCATATGACGGTTTATGATGAGAAGGGTGAGTAATGAGAGCTGTTCTTACTACTACTAGGAAAATTTTATTGGTCATGACTTTTGAGAGATTTGGTGGCTCCTAAAGGAGCCGTTTGTTTGTGTTGGCAGACTGTGCTAGTGGATAACACCTTCACAAAACAAACGGCTCCTTTAGGAGCCACCACATGAATAAAAGCAATGACCAACTTGATACTTTAGCTGCATATCCTTCTAATACCTTTTGCAGTTGGAAAACTATTGACACGAACGATAAGACACAGATCACCCCAAAAATGCTTTTGCCATTCACTTTTCAAACATCGCGCAGAAATGAAAGAGGTGCACAGAGGCTTTATTGTTTCGCTACAAAAGCTCTTCCTATTTCAATGTGCAAAATTTCCTCCATCATTTTGTGACAATTTGCATATTGGCGCGCGTTCTAAGGGTTTTTTTGAGTGTTTCGCCCCACTGTTCTGCGTGTAGTTTATACATTACGACTATTTAAATTATCTTTCCTTCTCAGTTGGAATTCCACTATATGCATTCCGTATATCTACTTTCTATGGTAGCTTATCATTGACCGATAACTTGCACAGGAGCCGAAAACATCTAAAGCAAACCAACGGTTTCTTGTATTCATTACTCAACACGTCACTACATTTTAAACTAAATAGAAAACCATACTAAAATAGGAAATATATTCGCGGTCGTCAGTCCTATTTTGTACGTTTTGGAAAAATTTTACATATAATGTTACACTACTAATAAAGGACCCGTTAAGTCGATTCTAGTATAGAATCAAATCTTAATTTGGTAGATGCACTGATTTTGGCGCAAACTAAATGCAAATTCACGAACTGTAATTGTTTGTGACACACGCTATACGCTGAATGAATGTCACAATGGACATCGAAAGTGCTAGATCTTTGCTGGTCTATTAAATTATCTTTACCAGTACACTATACTGAATAAAAATTACTATGAATACAACACAAGAAATGTTTAGAAGATAAATCTGTGTAATTCAGGTTAATTAAGTATGGACTAGTCGGTCAGTCCGTATTTGATTATCGGCCTTGATAGGCGAATGCACTGGTTTATCCACTATTTATGTCTAACAAAATCAAACCTAAAACGCTATTCTAGGCTACTTATCATGCTCAAAAAGTCAGTGATACTCCGATACTAAAATGTCATGTGTTTTAATGTCTGAAAAGTCTTATCAGTCGAGATTCAAATACGGTAGTGATTTACAAATGGCGGACCGAAGGAGTTTGTGCTTGTTGTTGAAACTTAAGAGACGCTCAACCGTTGGAAATCGACAGAAGGAGTAATTTTGTCAGATAAAATTAAAGTTTAGTAGTGACTCTTCCCTGGGACTTGTAATTTCATGCAGAATTATGATCATAACAAAAGTTATTTAGGTGTAAACACGAAGCATTCAGTAGAATCTCACTGCTTTGTCTGCTTTAAGCCATAAAATGTCACTCTTGGGAAAAACTTGCGACAATCTGTTTTACAGATGCAATGCAAGAGAGACCCAAACTAACTATTGAAAGGATTAGATTAAACTAATCCTTTTAGTAGTCGATTTTATCGGACAAAACGTCAAGCAAACTAGCACAAAATTCCACGGCGCCATCTTCCCTAGTCCTGTTTCCTCAGTGGTCCGCATTCGGCGCATAAACATTGCTTGCACACTCGAATGAGTATATTTCGAATCTTCAGATCCGAAGTGACAACAACATTGCAACATGTCCGAAACAGCAAAATCCCCAGCCAAAAAGAAGCCAGCAGCGCCTAAAAAGCCTGCCGATCATCCACCTTATTTGGATATGATCAAGGCTGCCATTGTAGCACTGAAGGAGCGAAGCGGTTCTTCCCGCCAAGCCATCGAGAAATACATCAAAGCCAACTACAAGGTTGGCGAGGTTGGTCCTCACCTGAAGATGGCTTTGAAGAGAGGCGCCGCCAGCGGAAAGCTTCTACACACCAAGGGAGTTGGTGCTTCAGGCTCCTTCAAGGTGCCCAAGGAGGAAAAGAAGGAGAAGAAACCGAAGAAGAAGCCAGCTGCAAAGAAGAAACCAGCCGCCAAACCGAAGAAGCCCGCTGCCAAGAAGGCGGCGAAGAAACCAGCGGCAAAGAAGGCTGCAAAGAAACCCGCGGCGAAAAAGCCAGCAGCAAAGAAACCTGCAGCTAAGAAACCAGCAGCAAAGAAGCCCGCAGCTAAAAAACCCGCCAAGAAAGCAGCCAAGAAACCCGCTAAGAAAGCGGCAGCGAAGAAGCCCACCAAGAAGCCTGCCGCCAAGAAGTCGCCTAAAAAGTAAATTGCCGCGATTCTTCAATAAACAAAACGGCTCCTTTAGGAGCCACCAAACACAAAAAAGTAATGACCAAAGAAGTACATTATATACAGCATGACAAAATATATTAATTTAGCATAGTCCCCGTTTTTCCCTGTAGTTTTGGTATCATCTTTAAGGTCGAAATCGACTTCATAGCTCGTCTTATACTGTCATTGTTTTTTTTTTCCCTAAAATGTTTTCGCCGCAATCATTTTTCTCTGAGTGTCTAAAAAAGTCTGGAAATTTTGAATAGTAACCCAAATGGAGTTAAACATTGCTGTTCATGAAAGTAGTAACCATATTTGTTTACTACAACATAAGACTATCAGTGTGTTAGTTCATGTCACACTGACGCACTGATCCACTTTATTCGAGTGGCAATATCGCCTCATGACAAATAACTTCATCATTTTCAAAACTGTTAAATGATATCAATTATATCACTCGGAAACTTCCAGCCGCTGTCGGAAAGCCTGAAACCCCACCTGACGGGAGAGAAGGAAGGAACTTCAGAGAACACTCGGCGAGCTGAGGAAAAAGCAACCACACCGGCGCGCTTTTTACGTTCTCTCTCCCTAGTTTCCACGCGTTTCTTCTCGTGTGGGATCGGGAGAGAAGAAAAGAACCTAAAGCAAAGTAACTTACCCTTTGTTGTATTTCCAGTCAGCTTGCTTTAGTTACACTCCAGTTAAGGTCTGGTTTTCCGTAAAATTCCGGTTTAAACTCCTGGGTTCATACAACTTTACAAGGGGTTTTGGTTGGACCTATAAACGGGGGGGTAACATCTGCGGTTTGGGGGGGAGGGCTTATAAGTGAATAAGAAACGTTTCGAAATAAGCCGGTGAAACCAACATCTAGCAGCATAAAAGGATGATTTGTGTTCTTAAGAACAAGAAACACAAGGAACAAGTAAGAAAACAAGTATACGAAGCACTGAGTCCTTTGTATGAAGCTTCCTCATGATCGAGAGCAAATGCCGGCCGATGAGGTACAGGGGTAATAACCGGAAAATTTTGTTTTACATACGAAACATTCAAGTCTCGTTCTGTCTTGTGCACTGTTGTAGATATGATTTACTTAGGGACCGTTCATTTTTTATAAGGTAGGGGGGGCCATGCGAAAAAAAATGGCTTTCGAGGGGGGGTCATGTGAAATATTTTAGTAAAACTTTAAAATGGCATAATGTTTGAATATCAAAAAAATTGC